AACCCTTGTCCTCCCACGACGTCTATGAGAATGCCCCGGGAAATTCAACTCCAGCTGTGTTCAAGGTCATCCAGATGTGTAAACAATGACTAAACGGTGTTAAATTTCACAGAAGGGCGAGACAAAGGAAGTTAATTAAACTTTGAAGCTTTTTCTTCAAAATTAACCCATTTCTTTCGTTTTTTTTCAGTTTTAAGTATTTTTTATGTTTAATTACATTTATATCAAAAATTGCTAGGAACTAAAGCGATTAAGATAGATCTAGGTATCCTTTACATCCATAAACGTTATATGTCAGTGGAACAAATGGAGTGAGCTTTGAGCGTTCCACGATTTTTGGAGACTGTCTATACGCGGGCTTCCTAAACAAGCCTATATGTATGCTTGTCTAAGAAATTTTTGGATGAAATACAAACTGCACAACTTCAAAATCGCATAAAAATAATACGCATAAAAAGAGACCTTACAGTATTAGCTAATTTTGGTGTTTAGTTTTTACCAAATGTAAGAAGACTACTGTGAGGAAAAAATTGTTTTACTGTGTAGTTATTATTTGATTTCATAAACCAGCATACCACATTGTATGTTATTATCAAACCAAAAAGTGTGTGCTAAAACAAGTAAGTGTAAATTCACATGAACTTAATTAAGCAGAAGTGACTCAAAATTATAAAGTAGATGAAGTTACATAACATAATATTAGAAATTAATTATTGTTTTCTATATATAAATTTAGTGTTAAATGCAATTATGATTATATCTAATACTGAATTGGTGACAGTAATCTAATACTGTGTTTCCCCAAAATAAGACTGGGGTCTTATATTAATTTTTGCTCCAAAAGACACTTTAGGTCTTATTTTCAGGGGATGTCTCATCCAAAGGCGATCGCTTGAGTATTTACAAATGCTTAATTAAAATCTATATTATCATTTATTTTAAATATTTGTAAATACCCAAATGAGTATCTTTGGATAAGACATCTCCTGAAAATAAAACATATTAATTTTTGCTCCAAAAGACACATTAGGTCTTATTTTCAGAGGAATATCTCATTCAAAGGTATTCAAAGCACTTGGGTATTTACAAATGCTTAATTAAAATCTATATTATCATTTATTTTAAGTATTAATGTCAATAATAATATTTATTTATATTTAATTATATTTATATTATTATTTTATAATTCAATACAGCCATCGTGGATTGCAATGGATGTATTAAATATGACTGATGATCTTAACTGGAGCTTATTTTAGGAGTAGGGCTTATATTATGAGCATCCTGAAAATCATTAATACAGTACATTTTACATGTCTAATACTAATATAAATAATGAATAGTTTGAAACTGTAAGGATAATCAATATAATGCATATAAATGTCTACAATTTCTGCAATGATTGACTTGATTGTTGTATGGTAATCTAAATTACATGTAGTTAGATGCATTAAATATTAGACAGTAAAAATATGTGGATATGTTTAATTTGTTTTGTAGCAGATAAGATAATGCTGTGGTGTACAACAAGAGATTTGTGTAGCAACTTTTAGCTTTAACTTTTTAAACAGTTTTACTGTATATGCTGCTATAATTCATGTTACAATTCCTTCACCTTGCTTTTTCTTAACCTGTGTACTTATGGAGCTGGATGTCTACTCTCATCTATAATCGATGTAGAAAATATATTTAATGAAAATAATCATTATTTTTGCTGCTGAGTGCATTATTATATATCTGGCATGCATTATTTAATATCTTGATATTTTGTAAAATGGCTGCCTGTAGAAAGTTATTGGTCAATGAAGCTTTACATTTAATAAATAATAATTTCATTTCAGAAATACATAGTTCTGATGCTGAAATGAAAGAAAATGAATCCATGAAGCTTCGTCAATGTAGATACCACATTACGTCAAGCTTTTTCTAAAACTTAAAAATGGGATATTTTTTTGAAATTTTATTAAGACTTTTTTCTTTTTAATGATTATTCTGTTAATTGTTTCATGCTAACAAAAGTATGAAGAAACAAATCCAAAGTCATTTGTACATTAATGACATTATTAAACCAAAAGTGGCAAAGAAAAGCATATCAATAATAAAAAAACAGATGAATACTAAAATGAATTCTTGGAAATTTTATGAATATTTGTAATTTTTACAGTTTAATTTGTTATTTATGTCTGTAAACATAATCATAAAATTCTTCTTCTTCATAATATATGTTAGTTGTTTTCAAACTTTTGTTTGTATTATATTGCAAAGTCATATTTTGGAATAAATAGTTTCTTGTCAAAAATAATAGTAATTTCATTGCATTACATAATATTTTGCAACTGAAAATTAGAAAAATTAAAAAATTTAATGATGGGATAAATTTGTTTTCAGTAAATGAACTAAAATAAAAATACACCTGTTAATAAAAATGCACCACTCAGCAAATAATCAGTAGACTATCATAATACTACTAAATTTTCTTAGCAATTTAAGGTTATTTTAATGTCTACTGAAAATACACCACTACAGTAACTTGATGATTTATCTAGCAACTGGTTATTTCTCTGTAAAAACAAATGTTTTCGATCTTCTTTGGATATTATTCAAAAATGGAATAGTCTAAAGAACAAGATGTACTTCAAAATTTAAAACTACCAATCAGATGCATAAAGATGGTTGACATAATTAAATCATAAGTATTTATCAAACTGCACTTGCCAAGCATGAGAAATGCATTTCTCTTTCTTATAATTAATGCAGCATCCTTGTTGATCAGCTTTACAGATCTCAATGGCTTTCAGTTCTCTAAGTTGTTTGGTAGAGATAGAACATCTTATCATAGAGGCCTGATCTAATTTTTCTATAACATTGTTGTCTAACACATGTGGATAGGGCCATGGATCTTGTGTGCCATTCATATCAACCATCCAGTTTCAGTGACCTTTTTGTAGATGCTATATAAACTAGGTCCATCTGGAATCTTTCATCTCGTAATGGAATCTTATATGTACCAGATGCTGTCTTGATGTTTATTGGGTCTTTCCCATTATATAATACAGTAGTTTATAGATAAAAATAATAAATATAAATGAAAAGTAATCTTTGATAGTGGATTTTATTGAAACAAGACTATTAATGTCTTTGGTAAAATAATTAGAAGAAAAATAGGGATTGAAAAACTTAATAACAAAAGAAATAAAAGATTTTCAATTGAAGAAAAAAGCAGGGATGGGGAGTCGGCAGAAAAATATACAACTCCTGAGTCAGTATTTTTTAAAATTGACTCCTTGACTTCCAGCTCCAACTCTCCATCCCTGGATAAAAGAGGAATTATTTATCTATCAATACAACAAAGAAGTTAAGCTAAGTTTCCATATGTAATGATTATTGGTGCCAGGGGCATGCAAATTTAATGGCAATAAAAAGTATATTTGCTGCATAGTTCTGTTAAGTTAGTACAATGATTATAGGCACCAATCAACTGGCATCACTTAATTTGCATGCTTCCACATGCAAATAAATTAATGCCAGTTGATTGGTACCAATAATCATTGATTATGGAAGTTTAACTTTACAGAATAAAATTTCATATTAATTTATTTTATAATGGTAAATAAAAAATAGTATCTTATAATGTAATTTTCCATTTCTGGTATAAAATTTTTGATTTTTTTTACATGGAATTCCAATCTATTGTGTAATTTTGTGTGTGTAATATGAAAAAAAAATTTATTAAAATTAAATTTTATTTGTTTATAAGATATTTAATCAATTACTATTAATAATTTTTTCAAATATTTTATAATTTTTGCTTAATTTTTCTAGTTTAAAACTCTGTCGCAGTTTTCTTCAAGGAACACAACAAAATAGTCCAATTTTTCGAAGCCAGGCTAAAGGTATGTATTACTAATTGTTATAGTCTTTGAATCTTGGAGTCATTATCAATATCTGTTTTTGTTACTGCTTTTTGTGGAAGCAAAAAATGTAATAAAAAGTAGGGTCAATGACTGTTTTTGAGGTATAAGGTTCTAGCACAAGTGTGCAAAATAAAACAATATCACACGAATTGTATGACTTTGTTGTACAGTGTTCCATGGTTGCTAGCATATCTTCTACAAGCTTATAGAATTTAGTTCTCAAAATTTAATGGGATGATTTTGATAAAACTTTATCATTTTCCATTAATTGCAGTGAGGGACCCAAAAATATAATGAGGGTTCATTTAAATGTTAAAAATAGAAGTCGATCACTTTGTTTTCAATATACAGAAGTATTAAAGCAGGGTTTCTCATTGGCGTTGGTATTGACCCTCCCTTGGGGATCAATGAAAGTTTGAGGAGATTGCTAAAACTTTGCAAATATAAAAAAAATTATTTTTAAAATATTTAAAATTTTATACATTTTTTTTTTCTTAAATAAATGTAAGAGGCTATGGTATATATATTATATATAATATAATATTGAAGAGGGGTAGAAGGAAAAATGTTTTTCTTAAAAGGTGTCAATACATGAAAAAAGTTGGGAACTCTTGTATTAAAGTGACAATATCTGTGCTCTCTGATGCAACTGAGTGTGTCTAATGGAATTTAGGCCTAGAGGTTAAAAATAGGCAGCCTTGCATGCACCTAATGGAAAATAGGCATAAAAAATAAAAAAAAACACAAGAACAAAGCAATTGATGGTGATGCTTTGTTCTTGGATTGCCTTTCCATGTTGACAAGTACAAGGATCGCCTCTTCTGTGCCTAACAAGTGTAAGGATCGCTTCAATTCTATCATGATATGATGAAGTTTCACAGTGTCTTAGTTGATAATATATACAATTATAATAATAGAAAATAAGAAAAAATTTTGAGCGCTTTTTATAAATCAACTTATCTTCTTCAGAGAAAAATATAAGGTTAAGTCAAAACAAATTGAGACAGAATTTTTTTCATACAAGCATAGTGACCGTGGAATTTTTTGAAGTGTTTTTTGTGGAATTCAGTAAATTTCTGTTATCATTGATATCTGTTTTTGAATATATGTACAGTAAAACCTATGTAAACTTGACTTGCATGGTCCTGATTATTTTTTCTTGTCTGGCAGGTTTCTATTTATTAAGGTTCTGTTGTGAACAAATACTACTGTAGTAGTTTATCCTTTGAGATGTTTTTTCACCTTCAATACTTTAACCATTCTTGTTTTAGACAATAAATGGATTCCCTGTAACTTTGACTTTAGTATTGGGAATAGAAAAAAGTCAGGTTACCAGATTTGGACTTTGTGTGACTTTAGTCATTTTGTTTTAGGTGGACAGCAGATGACATTTGCTCTGTGTACTGTAGCAATTAAATGAGATATCATATTTCCTGTAAATTTTTCGTACAGACGAATTAGCAACTGTTTTTATCTGTCGTATTTTTAGAAGAAAAAATTATTTTTAGTTTGTTTTGGCTTGTCCTTGTATTTTATTCCTGTATTCCAAATGAATTGCCAAATTATTACCAGTCTGTTATAAAGCTAGTAAATAATTAGATATACAGTAGAGCATCAATTATCCGAAACAATTCAGGACTACGGTTGTTTGGATAATTGATTTTTTGGATATCCGATTATGTACGAAAAAATATATTAACCTATCCCATGTTGAAATTTGTTCAAATCCTGGTGCATCCTTAAGTACCCTCTCATGGTCGTGCCAGTGCTGCCAGCTAAAACACCAACAAAAATAATATTGGAGTAACCCAAGACAAAGTCAAATATTGCAGTGCCATCACTAGCAGAAATTTAAATTTGCCGACTGGAATATCAATGCTCTACTGTAAATTAGTTTGGCTAGAGGTAGGTTGTTATGCTGACAAAAGTACAAAGTCTTGTGGTAAGTTTAATAATCAGAAATAAATTAATTTTTAATGTAGAATATTCTGGAAGAAAAGAATCAGTCCAGAAGGAATTCATACTCTCAACTTCTGATTGCTGTACAGTTAGTTAGTTACCTTGTCAATTGCATTGTCTGGATCCGTCTGGTTTTTTCTTCTATAATTATTAATTAATTTATTAATTTAGATATAACCATACAGGTTATTCATAAAGTTGCTTTCCAATTGGCATTGTGAATAACCTGTATAATTACTGGATATCTAAATTAATTAACTAATTAATAGCTTTGGAAGTAAGGATCATACAAGTCTGGGTAGCATAATTAACAATGTAACTGCATGGCAAGCAGGAGTTGTGGGTTTGACTCCTGCTCTAGGCCAATTCTCTTCTAGAATATTCTAGAAGGAAAGAACTAAAGAGTAGAAATTAAAATTAATTTATTTTTTATTATTAAATTTATTATGAGACAGTTCAATAACCATCTACTATTAGCCAAATTTTCATCATTGCGTTTTTTACACATGCTGTTTTTCCTACTGTCTGTTGTTTCAATTCATGTTATATTTATATTAATTATTATGTATTATTTGTTTAATTACTTCTGTATATTGTATTTTTAATTAATGTTTCATAACTAATTAATAATAATAAATTATTATTTTATTCAAATAAAATTTTACATATAGATATACTTTTATTATTATGTTTAACACTTAAAAGAATTGACAAATTTCTCACAAATTACAAAATAAAATAAACTGGAATAGAGAAACATTTATTTTATGAATTATTTTTATGAAAAGTGTTTAGAATGTCTGATGTAATGTCTCTCTTCTTTACAACTTTGAAACATCTCTTAAATTTTTATTTGCAGCACAGGGTTTTCCTAAGGTTTATCTATTGAATGTTGAATGATAAAACACTTCAAAATTTTGTTATTCATATCACAATACACAGTTACATAAAGCAGTAACTCTAGCAGATTCAAATAACACACCATTAAACTTACACTTACACTCAACATACAGACACAACACAACATATAAAAAGCACAGACACCATTAAGCAATCGTGGGCTCGAAAGGCACTCCATGGCAGGCATCCTTATGACCTGGCCCAGGATTTTGTTGACAAAACTGCGTCAAACAGCTGGTTAGATCGGAGATGCCTCTTTGGGGAGACAGAAGGATTCATGATTGCCATACAGGATCAGGTCATAAATACTAAAAACTACAGAAAACACATACTCAAAGATACAACACTCACAAATGACACACGCAGAAAATGTCACATCATGCCAGAAACTATACAACACATCACATCTGGGTGCAAGCTCTTGGCACAGACAGATTATTTACACAGGCACAATCAAGTAGCAAATATAATACACCAAGAGCTTGCAAATAAGCACAAATTATTAGACATCCACGAACCATACTACAAATACATTCCACAGACAGTATTGGAAAACAACAAGCACAAAATGTACTACGACAGCCATAATCACAGATAAAACAATTCACTACAACAGACCAGACATCACACTCATTGACAAACACAATAAAATCACATACATTATAGACATAGCCATTCCAAACACTCACAATATACAAAACACATGGACTGAAAAAATTAGCAAGTACACAGAATATCGCCCAGGAAAATAAGGCATCTGTGGAGGATGGATAGGGTGCTTATTGTACTGGTATCTGTTGTTCTGTCCTCTACAGGTGTGATACCACACACACTGCACAAAAGCCTGGAGACATTACAGTTGAATAGAAATACAAATATCACACTACAGAAGGTCACTATATTGAATACATGCCGTATTGTTAGAAAATTCCTGAATACAGACACCGACACACTTATTTAATTTTTGTTTTTGGTTGCTATGCCTTGAGTCTGGTCTGGCATCATACACAGTCGTCACTGTCAACCAATTATAACTCACTAAACCCAACATAATAATAATAATGTTAAACTGTGAACATGAAGAATGAAGGTAGAGAAAGTAAATGAAACATGTTTTCAAGTGAATTTTAAAGCAGTAACTTCTTTTAAAATTTATTATTACCGAAAAGAAAACAACAAATACATTTATTCTACATTGCTGGCCATTAAAAATGCTACACAAGGAAGGAAAGCAAATAGCAGAATCATATTTATTGTACACATACAATATAATGGGAGGAAGATGTGATTAAATTGACAGCTAATTTTGACGTACAGAGCATGCAGAAATCAGTACCCAGTGCAGCTGCCTCTATTAGCAATAACAGCTGTAATATAGTTGGGCAATGAGTCGAACTGAGTGAATGGCAGATATGGGTACAGCAGTCCATGCAGTTACAACTCTATGTCAGAGTTTGTCTATCATACTGGCTGGTGAGTAGTGGTTTACCAGTTTTTCGACAACCATGGACCATATGTTCTCACTTGGTGACAAAACTGGAGAACGTGCTGACCAGGGCAACAGTCAAACATCCTCTGTATTCAAAAAGATCAGGACAGCATGGACAACATGTGGTCATGCATTGTCCTATTGAAAGGTAGCATGATGGAGGCTTTAAAGATAGCAAACAGTGATGAGCCTTAACACATCAGAAATGTAATGGAGGCTGTTCAAATTACTGGCTATGTGAACAAGTGGTGACCGGGATGTGTACCTCATGGAATGGTACCCCATACCATCACTCCAGGTGCTGGGCCTGCAGGATGATGATGAATGCAAACTAGCAATGATTGTTCCCCTTAGTGCCTCCACACACAGATATTCTCATCATGATGCTGTATGCAGAACCAGGCTTTTGACAACTTGACACAACTCTTGTGTCCATATTTGTTGTTGAATGCACCACTAACTCTGATGCAGTGTTAAGAGAAGCCACAGTAAAGGTTACCATGCTGATAATTTGTGGTGCTGAGGACATTGTCGCACTGTCTGTATAGACACTTGTTCTGAAAATAGCCCAAGTTTCTGTCTCAGAGAATGTGATGTGGCTGTACGATTCCACAAGGCCATGTGGAAAAGATGTCAGTCTTAATCACATACTCAGAACCAATTACAGTGGGCACATAAACAAAAACAAATGCAAATGTTTTCAAACTCCACCAGAGTTCTTCTTCAGGCTCTATAACAACTACCCGATGGAATGTCGTAAAAGCTTTTGGAATAAAAATTCAAACAAGCATTCGAATGTCTGTTTCTTGGACATTACTGATCAAGAGTTGCTGAGATCCTGCACGATGTTCTGTATGGCCCTCCTGGACCCATCAATTTCATATTCTTGTGACAGTCGTGGGATCATGACCAATGCGAGCAGCAATAGCATGGAATGATAAACTGCAGTCCCCATAGGCTTCGTTTCTACCATGATCAAACTCTGACATGTATTTGAAGGCATTCCTCCTCCTTATATGAGGCATAACAAAACCTTTACACAAGCAACCAATGTGCAAATTCAATTTCAGTATGAGAAACCAACTTTACAATCTTCCCTTTTATATAGAATGTAGGTGGTTTTACTCATACCTTCTTTGCGAGCATGTGTTGGAATGCTAATCATTTGAATATCCCAGCATGTACCTTTCATAAAAATTTTGCATTTGTTATGTGCTGCCTTCATGGTGTAGCAATTTTAATGATCAGCAGTGTAAAATTGATATTGAGACTAAAGAACTGTTTTCCTAATATATATGTATATATACTAGCTTGTTACACTTGATATTGCCTGGTTTTATAAGAGAGATTTAACCACTCAACAGTGAGAGACGGATATATTCGTCCAGGGAGTATAACTTAGGAAATTTAAAAATGTTTTTATGGCATCACAAATTTTATTGTTGGTGTTTATTACCCTTTGTTTACATACTTTGAGTTTTAAGAATGGGGTCACTTTTATGATAGTTTTTCATGATTATAATAAATCACCAAATGATCGCCTTAATATCGGGCTATAATATGGCTAATTAAATGATTAGTATAAAGTAATTTGACATTAGAGGTAGACGTTAGGCGCCATCTCTTAGGTAAATTAATAATTATAATTAAATAAATAAATTATTAAATAAATTTAGAACCTTCTGGAATAAAAGAACTGGCCCGGGACGGGGCTTGAACCCACAACCTCCGCTTGCCGTGCGGTGCGCTTGCCAGTTACGCCACCCGGACCCCGAGCAAGTCTTNAAGCATACTTAAAATAAAACATTAACAGATGACACTTACAGGAAATGCCACATCACCTTACAAGACCAGGACATTGCACAAACTGTACAACACATCACATCAGGTTGCAAGCTTTCAGCACAAACTGACTACTTTATATGATATAGCAAATATAATTCATCAAGAGCTTGCACATAAACAACTAGTACTACATGCCTAGGAACTATACTACAAATACACATCTCAGATGGTCATAAAAAATAACACACACACTATGAGCTTTAATCATAGAAAAATCAATCATAAATAATAACAACTCAAAGCCCAAGAAATATACAATAAATCACCAAACAATTGCCTTAATATCGGGCTATAATATGGCTAATTAAATGTTTAGTATAAAGTAATTATACCTAAGAGATGGCGCCTAACGTCTACCTTTAATGTCAAATTACTTTATACTAATCATTTAATTAGCCATATTATAGCTCGATATTAAGGCAATCATTTGGTGATTTATTGTATATTTCTCGGGCTTTTGTATATTATTCATGATTATATATGAAACTTGATATTTTTCATTATATTGTGTTTTTGTGTAGCACAATTCATGTTTTCATTTTTTATGTTTTGGTAAGCTTCAAGTGTATATCTATACACACTTGAAACTTACATTGTGAGTTAATAGTTAAAAGCTGCTAAATATTAAATGGATATGAAGAAGCAAGTAATTTCTGTGATTGTCACAGTTCCTACATTGATATAGGCAGAAATTAATTGTATCTGTTTTTATCGTCACGACTAGGTGCATAGATAGACACTGGGCATTTCTACATCATCTTTATTTGGAATATCCTATATCGGACTGTAGGATATTTCGAATAAAGATGATGTAGAAATGCCCAGTGTCTATCTATGCACCTAGTCATGACAATAAAAACAGAAAAATAAGAAGACACGGTTTCAGAATACACAATTAATTGAATCGTTAGATGTGGAAAACTAATACTTATATAGTTAGTTATACACTGAGTGGCCAAAAAATTAGAGACACCCTCTAATAATGAGTTGGTCCACCTTTAGTTCTGATCACAGCCGATATTCTTCTTGGTATGGACTCAACAAGTTGCTGATACTGTTGCTGAGGAATGTTGGCCCATGCTAACATAATAGTAGCTCTATGTTGAATCAGATTGGATGGTGGTGTTTCCAAGGTTTGAAGTGATCTTTCAACTTCGTCCCACAAATGCTCCATAGGATTGAGGTCAGGGGACTGAGCTGGCCATGGAAACAGGTTAAACTATGATTGATGTTCCTCAAACTTATTAGAGAGCAATCGGGCATGGTGACAAGGTGCATTGTCCTGCTGAAAGTGACCATCTTTATCAGGGAAAATTACAGCCATAAACGAGTGTATGTGATTGGCAATGATGTTGAGGTGAGCTGTTCTATTTAGATATATATCCACAAATATCAAGGGATCCAGTGTACTCCAGGAAAACATTCCCCACACCATAATTCCATCGCCAGCAGCCTGAAGAGTTGTCATTTGGCAGGAGGAGTCCATGAATTTGTGCTGTTTGTGCCATATTCTGATCATGCCATCTGCAAGATGGAGCAGGAAACAAGATTCATCAGACTAAACTACTTTCTTCCAGTCCTCAAGTGACCAATTTTGTCATTCCTGGGCCCACAACAGGCACCTTTTTCCTATTTTTATGTGATACCAAAAGGCACTCTTGATGGTCTCCTGCTGCTAAAGCCCATCCTTTGCAAAGTGTGTTTTGTTGTATGTTGGGATATGCTTTGTTGATGCACCTGCATTGAATTCAGCTGTAATTTTTCATGTTGTTGCCCTTCTGTTGCTTCATACTATGTGTGCTTATCGCCTTTCACCTTTTTTTCGACCAGAATTATCCTTATCGCTTGAAGGTTTTTTCTTCAACTGCCACTCTCTAAACGCTCAAGATACTGTTGGGTGAGAAAATCCTAAAAGCATCGTCATTTCAGAGATGACACCAGCTCTTCTTGCCCTGACGATCGTGGTTACTTAAATCTTTTGTCTTACCCATTTTGACGTTAACTTTCATGATAACTACATCGTCCAAAGCTGAGCATACCTTATATAAGAAACTCTGCATTGTTATATCACAGACTGATTTACTTTCAAATAAGGGGTGTGTCTAATTTTTTGGCCACTCAGTGTAGTGTATAACACTTCTGACTTAATGTATGTGTGTGTACCACATGCTACTCATCACAGTAATGATATAGCACATTGCAGTAATCAGTAACATGATATATCATTGTTGCAGTAATTAGGTGAATATAATATATTTTTTTAAAATTATAGCCTTTATGTATGAATTATATTTAGTTTATTATTGTTTGTCAAATTATTAGTATTTTTATGCTAGAAATGTGTAGAGGCAGTGCTATATCTAAAGGCAGGAAGTTAGATGTAGGCAGAAATTAATTGATATATAGAAATTAAATCAATATTTTTGGGTGGTATGTATACTGTACAACATTATGTAAGCTAGAAGTATGTTAATGTGACTACTTAGTTTCAGAGCAATTGGTCAAATGGTCTAGGCATGTATAGTAACAAACAAACATCCTGATTTATATATATATATATATGTATATATATTAGGAAAACAGTTCTTAAATGTCTGAATGTTTTTTTCTGCTGTAGGATCATTGCTAGTCAATGAGATTTGGTGAGATTTAATTCTAAAATTAGCCAACTCCTGGAGCTGTAGTGGCATATTTAGAAAATTACAACTTTGATAGCATTGGGACTATTATAATCAAACAACTTTATCTCTAATAACTCTGATGATACAATGCATTATAGAGCCAAGCTCTGTTAGGTCCCATATAATAATGTGGCACAAATTTTATCTAGTTCAAGTGCATTTTTAGCATTGATCACATTGACAAAACAAAATAACTTTATGTTCAAATATGTACTGTACTTGTACAATCTAGGGCACCTGTTGGTCAGCATTGTTGTATTTGTGACACTCAATAATTTTTAGAATCAGTTTTATATCAGGTTATCCCAAATTATGTGTAGAATATTGAAAATAGCTGTTGACTGAATAATTATTTTGAAAAATAAGATTTTATTTTCTTTTTATATAGAAAAAGTTGATTGTCATCTCGAACAAATTAGAGCCTTAATGCATGAAGTTTATATTTACTAACAATAAATTGTTCCAGGAAAACTATTGTTAATCAAAATATTATTGAATTTACAGAAAAACATTTGATAATGATGTAAGGCTTAGTTTTTACTTGAACACAATTTAATTTACCTTTTTTAATTCATTCATTCTAACTAATTTTTAATGCACATTTTGCAGTCTTTTAAGAACATAATTTTATTGAAATTAATATTTGTATTTTCAGATTTAAAACACATTTTGTATGAAGTTTGCTCAAATGTTGTGCAGGGATCTCTTAGACTTGAGCCAACATTATTGGTGTTGGCTGAAGTTGTTGTAAGTTACATTAAAATTTTTTTACTTTAATTTATTATTTACTTTATTATTTAGCTTGTACAGATTTAACATAATTTTTATTTTGACTATACTGCCATATAGGCTTAAAATGTCTTATTATATTGACAAAAAAGAAATATTTCAGCTATTTTATGTGATATTTTAATAGTTATTCAGAAATTCATCTATAAGAAATATATATATAAATTGGCTGCGATATATGTTGCTGCCACTGGTAGATCTAGAAGTATCCAAAGGGATTAACTCAAAAATTAAAAATATTTGAATAATTAATAAGTATTTTTTATTTACATGTGCATGACAATAGTATTGCAGATGGTTTGATAAATCATATTTGCTGTCATAAGTGTTTTTAAAAATCCCTTTGATGATTGAACAAATTTTAATTTTTTTTTGGTGTGATTGAATGATAGAGATTGATAATTTACTATGATTAATAAGCTTAACATATAACTGAATTTGATAATTTATAATTAATAATCAACATAAAGTATGAAATTACACAAACCCACCAAAATCTGCTCATAACTTTTTTCTTTCGACTTTGGCTGGTTCGCCCCATGCCATTTCACAAACTGGCGGGCCAAATCCCAGAATCAAGAAAAGATCGGACAATAGTATTGCAGATGGTTTGATAAATCATATTTGCTGTCATAAGTGTTTTTAAAAATCCCTTTGATGATTGAACAAATTTTAATTTTTTTTTGGTGTGATTGAATGATAGAGATTGATAATTTACTATGATTAATAAGCTTAACATATAACTGAATTTGATAATTTATAATTAATAATCAACATAAAGTATGAAATTACACAAACCCACCAAAATCTGCTCATGACTTTTTTCTTTCGACTTTGGCTGGTTCGCCCCATGCCATTTCACAAACTGGCGGGCCAAATCCCAGAATCAAGAAAAGATCGGACATTGACCATTTTTCGATTTGGCCAGACACTTTCCACTTTGGCTGTAACATATACAATGTTAAAACTACTAGAACCTGAAACAAATACTGTATATTTTCTTCCATTAATCAAAATTAAATATTGGACTTGAACAAATATATCAGTTTACGATTTTATTTCCAATAAAACCTTAGGTCAACTATCAACCAAATTTTAACTGTTAGAACAAGTTATATTGCCCAAGTTATATGTTGTGAGAGATATCAAAAAGTAACTAAAAATCCTATATTGGGTGCTGAAATAATTGTAGCAAAGATTTTGTTTTGGGAAAATTTTTCAAGGCTGGCTGTAAACAGTACTGATGAGGGACAGGACCTAAAAAATGGCCAAGTCCAAAATGCATTTGTAAGAATAATGAAAATAAAGTTTCCTCCTGATTCAACAGTGACCAGATGTTGTTAGAATTAATGGAAAACTAGGTGTATTTTTAAATGTCTATAAGTCTAGTGTTTTTACTGATTACACTACTCTACAAACTGAAAAAATTTTTCAGAACAGAAACAGCAATAAGTGAATTTTATTCTATTTTGTTCGCTGAATCTGAAAATGAAGCCAGTTTTTCTCTATCACCCACCACATTTTTGTTATATACCATTAAAAAATTGATGAAAAATGTGAATTTCCCACAATGACCAAGTTTATTGGTATATTAAATTTCATGCAATGCTAAAAATACCAGAATTTTTTTTTATAACTGGAGTCAGATAATCGCTTCTTCCTTTGGTGTAGGGTAGTATCTTCTCTTTGCAGAAACCAGCAGTAGTCACTCATCATCAATTCATTCCATCTCCCTTGGTAATGCTGCTCAATTTGCAATATGTCCTGGTGAAACTGTTCATCCTGCTTATCACTCACTGCACCCAAATTTGGTGGGAAAAAGTCCAGATGAGAATGCAAGAAATGAATTTTTAAGGACATCTGGCAGCCTAAATTTTTATAGTTCAGCAGGAGATTTTTTACTAAAATATCACTATTTCCAAGAAAATCATAGAACATCCTTAAATGATTTTCATGCTTTTAGTCTAGAAAACACTTGGCTTACATGTTTAAATCCTGATCTTTCTTTATTCAGTGCTTTAACAAAAATTTTTTATCAACCCCAATTTTATATGTAAAGGGGGCAAAATTATTTGCTGAGGTTTGATTAATGGAACATACTAATATTGTTTTGCCCAGGAGTGAAAGTGTCTCTTTTTGGCCAATCTTTAACCACATAATGTTCACTTGTTGCACGACTGTCCCACAGAGATAAAAAACAGCAGTATTCTGTAAAGCCACCTTGCAATAACTTTTAGTTCGCCACAGATATGTTGTCAGCAATCTTACTCATATCCGGATGTACCTTTTCTCCAAAACTACTGAATTGTAAAAATGTAAATGTAAAAATGTTGACTTGAAATTGAAATTTTAAATTTAAGAATTTTTTTAACAAAATCTTTACTTTAAATAAAAAATTTATTTACAACTGAAAAATTAAATAAAAAATGTGTTAAAATGTGCACCATCACAAGAAGAACAAGACAAAGTTTGCCATTTTTACATGGGCTGGGATTGAACATCTGACTACCCTTAAAGTCAAATAACTAAGTAACGTGGCGTGATAGATCATTTATGATCACACTTTCCGTTTTAGCATGAAAAATACATTATAAAAAATCACTGATGTATCTGTTCCGAAAATCATGTAGACTAGTGTTATGAATGATGAGAAAAGCAATTGCTGTATGAAGAATTCAGATAGTTAATCTTTGAAAAATCAACACAATACTCTGGTAGCTGAATTGATTCATCTACCAGACCTGACAATAAGAAATGAATATACAGTAGTAAATTTATTGACCATTGCTAAGTCAAATTTTATCAGACAAATATTGTATTATAGTTTCCATCAACTGGTAGTTATCTTTCTCATTTTTTTATGATTAATAAAAGTAGTCTTCTTCTTTACTGCATTAGATCAATACTATTCATTTTTTAAATAGAACATTAATACTTGATAGTGATTAAAGAGCTTAATTAAAATGTGATAACAGTTTTACTAAAAATTCAATTCAAATCATATTTTCTACAAACTTTATTGGTTGCCATAGATTTTTTCTATAAATTTTATCATGCCAAAAATTGTGTTTGATTTAGTGTATCTAATTAATTAATTAATTAATTAGCAAACTTAATGAACTCCACATTGGCAACATGCAGTTGAGTATCTTGAATCTATGATGATGATGATGATGAAATAGTACAGTTGAACATGTTTACTGTTCAACTGTACTATTTCAAACCTCTTTATCTTGAAATTTACTTTTTCCCCAGCATTTTTATTCTAAACTCAATATATTCCATGTTTATCTCAAAATAATTTTCCTCCAAAACTTCTGTATCTCAACTTATGGACTGAAGTGTCATTTACAAATTTAAAGCTTAGTGACTACATTTTGACAGCATAACTTGCAGTTGAGAAACATCTCTTGCAATACAGTACACAGTTGCAATTAACTATTGCTTTTTACTGATTGGCTGAGTTTGGCTTGCATCTTATTGGTTGAAGAAAGTTGGGCATCAGAAACTATTGACAACTATTTCTGTTAAGATAAGTCAAAAATGTTTCAATTATACCTAATACAGGTATGCACTGTACTTGCTATTGTATTAATAAAATACTATACCTTCAATCAAATCTATTACTTTTTACTATGTGGTAACATCTATATCTTAAATCCTGGGTCTTGAAATTTTTTATCATTTCCATGAGATTCAAGATAGACAGATTCAATTGTATTTATAATTTTGACTAGCCAATTTTTATGTTTTAATAAATATTAAAATGTTTTTAATAAATATTATGAATAAAAAACTATATTATTTAATGATTATCTTTTTAAGCAAGTGTGTATGGCTGGAAAATTAATGTGACATTCACTCTTGACAACAAATTTGACCAGTCTCCCATTTTAATTGTCAGAGTCAAAAGAGGCAATCAGTAGCAATGGTTGTTTATGTTCAATGTCACCTTAATTTTGCCATTAGTGTCATTTGTTTTTTGCTTTTTATTAAATATTTTTAGTTCATGATAAAGCATATTTATTTTGCAAACAAATTTTTTTGTAAATATAATTGCTTTATAAATTTATTTATTTATTTTCAGCAACTTCATAGTGACTTATCTTCAATTATATCAGACATTCTGTTACTTTTAGGTAAGTGTTCAGATTAAAAATAAATATATAAATTGTTTTAAGTTATATCTCAAGTTTTCATTTTAATTTTGTTTTTTTTTGACATTTTTTTAGATACAGAAACGCAATGTTTAGATAATAGGGAATGTCGTGAAAGATTTTTTTGGCTCTTAAATGGTTGTAATAAGGTAATTTAAATATAAATTTATTTTGAATAATAATTAAACTCATTTATCATTAAATACATAAATTTTGTGTTTTATTACATTACAAAATAGCATTTTTTAATACTAAATTTAATTATGTAAGTAATTTATTAGTTTTAAACTTATAGATACTGAAATATTCTTAATCAGGAATAGAAAACTATGGATTAGTGATATAAAAATGAATAATTAATTTAATTTTATGCTGAAATATTTAGNAAAATATGAAAATGCAAACACTGAAATATTCTTAATCAGGAATAGAAAACTATGGATTAGTGATATAAAAATGAATAATTAATTTAATTTTATGCTGAAATATTTAGTAACTACTTAATGTTTTATTGATTAGTTGTTTGGTGTTAATTAATTGCAATTTTTTATTATTTGAATGTTGCAGAAAATTGTACCTGAATACATAATTAAAGAAAGGTTAGAATTTGAAACTACTGGTGATGCTGGTATATTGAAGCAACGAAATACAACTCAAACTAAATTTATCAAGATAAAAACAAGGCTTTTGTAAGTTTGAAATAAGTTTTACTTTTATAGTAAATCAAGCTCAAATTACACTAATAATTAAATGATAGCACCAGTAACTATTGGGCTAGAACGTGGTTAATTAATTATATATTATGTAATTTAGTTTAATGGTAAACAGTTATGCTGCCATCTTGTATTAAGTTTAATAATTAGAAAAATAAATTAACTTAGAATATTCTGAAAAAAAATATATTGGTCCAGAGATAGACTTGAACCTACAGTTCTTGCTTGGGTTTGAGTCTCAGAACTTGTTCAGATTTTAAGTTGTTTGACTTCTGGGGCATTTTAGTTTGAAGGTACCATTGTACTAATTATTACAACTGCACGAATTCCTGAAATTTAATGCAGTGAGGATACATTATGTAGTGATTAACAAACATTTTGTCAAGTTTTCAAACACTAATGACATACTTACTCTTCAGTTAATAAATCTGAAGGATAAGCATGTCTTGATTTAAAAAGAAATACAGATACTGCCTAGATCCGTGGCTTATTGTTTGCATAATGCTAAAGAAAGAGTTAAACAGTGTGGGGAAAAATTAATTATAAAGACAAGAAAATTTCATTTTTAAAAACAATTGTTGAATAAATAAATTTTTACTTATTGTTTACCTTATGTTGAATGTTATACATAGTTTTTTCAAGTAATATATCTTAATTTTTTAGTTACAAACAACAAAAATTTAATTTGTTTCGAGAAGAAAGTGAAGGATATGCCAAATTGATCACTGAACTTAATCAAGAAATTGGTGGAAGTATCAACAGTTCTTACATGTTAGAAGTGACTAGATCTTTGATTGGTATGTATTATTCCTTAATTATTTGTAATTTTATTNGGCTTAGTTTTTACTTGAACACAATTTAATTTACCTTTTTTAATTCATTCATTCTAACTAATTTTTAATGCACATTTTGCAGTCTTTTAAGAACATAATTTTATTGAAATTAATATTTGTATTTTCAGATTTAAAACACATTTTGTATGAAGTTTGCTCAAATGTTGTGCAGGGATCTCTTAGACTTGAGCCAACATTATTGGTGTTGGCTGAAGTTGTTGTAAGTTACATTAAAATTTTGTTATGAATTGCATTGAAAGATTTATATAAGAAATGATATATCTCATATAAAGATTTAATTTAAGAAAATAAAGATATTTATTAAAATATTTCAAAGATAAATTAAAATATTTCAATTTTTAAAATATTTATTGCTTTTCTGGGACTGAAAATGAATACCACAAATCCTTACATTATTTTCCATGTTTAGTCTCACTTAATTGCTCATTGCTCACTTAAATGCCCTTGAGCAATTAAGTGAAACATTTTTCTTTTAGTACCATAGTATTATAAGACTAAAATAGCAATGCCTCATATTGGTATAATCTCCTATACAACTCTTAAACACCTATCTATTAGAAAGTGCTAATAAAATACAGTATGTGCATTTAAAACAATAAAAAAAACAAAACTACCATTGTGGAATGTAGTAATTTATTTCTTAAAAAATTCAGAAGTATGAAGAAATTCAAAAATGATTGACTACATCGTTGCTTATGTTATTTTTTTACATGTCATATCTGTATCTTTCAATCAGATTTGTTATCAGTAAATTTAATTTTGCTATCACTTTCCTTTTCTGTACCTTCATTGTTACTTTTATCAGTCTTAACTAATTTGTCTCCCATTTCATCCTGTTCTAAGAGCTTTTGAAAATCTGAATGAAAAAATTGCTTGTCCATTGAACTACCATCAATACATGCATTTGTAATTCCATTGCACAAACAATTTTTTGCTAACTTCTTGGGAATTTTTTCCCATTCCTCAGAGACTTATTTAGCTACCTTAGTGTAGCTAGCATGCTTTTACCTTCTTGAAGAAAACTCCTTTTTACCAAACTGCAACTTCCTAACTTGCTCAAACTGTGCTTTCAGAACTTTATTTTACAATATGTCACTTGGTTGCAAGAGACTGGTCACTTTTGATGGAATATACGTCTTGGATTTTTTGAGTTAGTCAGTAGCTAGAGTGTGGGCACAGTGTATATCATATACAAGTAACATACTTGTCAAAAAAGATATTTGTTTTCCTGCTCCAAATGCATCAAATAATCTATACATGCATCAAATTCCCTTTCAAAGAACCACCTTGAAAAACAGCAATTAAACAGTTCTTCAGAAAATTTTCTTTGATACATTCTTCAGTTCTTTAAAGGTAATAATCATTGATAACTTAGCTCTGTTACTGCAAGTCATTAAAACCACACTATAATGCATCTTCTCATGCCTCGTTGTTTTACATTTAACTGATTTTATGCAAGAAAAAACATAAGAATGTGATGAAGAGGGTTTGAATTAAAAATGAATTTTATTCTTGTTTGTGCAATAAACTGCTGCTATCTCCTTTGCCAGTTCATTGCACTGAGTAATGAACTCTCTTGTCAGTTTGTTTGCATTTGCTGGAATGATCTGTTCTTTTGATGATATGATGTTTAGACTACTTATTTTGTTTTAAATTAAAAATTAACATATCTATCCTCTGCTTGCTTTCAATCTTATATTGGAAGCTTCTGTTAGTTCTTGTGCATGGTTATGAATATGATTCCTATTTACAGCAAATACTTTCCTCTTTTTTTTTAAATCCAGTCTGTTAAAGTCTTTTCCAATTCAGAATATTGGGCTATAGAACTTGTACAAAGACATCATTGCTTTCCTGCTCTTGAGATCATTGGAGTTGAGTTACAACTGCTGGCAAAAAGCTTTGAATAATTACTTGTGGTAAATCAAATCAGTGTTTCAGAGGTATAATAAGAGGTTATTTATGTGCACAAAACATCAACTTATTTAATAAAAGAGTGACATTAGTTGTTTTTATTAGTCCAAAATACAATAGGTTGTAAGAAATTGACTTTATGAGAAAACTGAAATACAACTTTGTAACACATTGCCATCTGATTTAATAATCCCATAGAAATTTGCATACCATCATTTACATTGTTTATTTTTGGTATTGATTATTAATAAATGTTCTATAAATTTCCTTTTATAAATATATTATTCTAATGTTAGATGTATCAATATTACAATTATGTAAATTTATGTATTTTAATCTTATTGCTACCAAATGTTCTTTAACTCTTTTTTCTAGTTTCCTCGTTTCTCCTTTAGATATTTTCAGTTTTTGGCATGTACACTTAATTTCATATACAACTCCTGTTTCCTGAAAAATATTAATTTTTTTTCTTTAGCCATATTAATCACTTTATTTATAATTTTTAGATAAAACGTTTTTCTTAAATTTAAGGTTAAACCTTTTGAATTATTAAGATTAGCTTTGTTGAACTGAACTAAAACTATGGTCAGGGTTGTCAACTTTGTACACTACATTCCCACTAATTACTAACTAAAAACCTCTAAAAAATTCCATATAATTAACTTTTTGTTGCTTTTTAAATTTTTGTAAGGACAAAAACATGGAAAAAGTGTTTTTTGAAATATGATTAGATATCTTTTTAGTTTTGATACTCTAATTAATGATACATTAGTCATTTTTTAAAGTTTTTAAATAATGATCATAAAAATCAAATCAAAACTGTAAGAGGTTTAATCTGTTGCACATAAAAATTTTAAAAAGAAAACACGATAAAATATTAGAATTGTAATCTTTCTTTAAAATATAGTATGCCACTCTGCATATCATGTTTTATACTGTAGTAGGTTATAAAGAATTAATGATGTATCTAAATATTATAAATACTGTTATTAGAACTGAATGTGGAATCTGTTAAATAAAATTTTCATTTTATCATTTCAAATCTTTAAATGATTTTATGAATAGATATGATTTACCACAAAAGGATATAGGCTGAATGAAATTTGAGTGAAATTTTCAAATGAATAATTTTCCTAATGAAAAGTTTATTTTTTTACTACTAAACATAATAAAAACAAAAATAAAAATACTTAAATATTACATAACATCATTATATAATTTTATTATTAATTGTTAATTAATATTGTTACTACTATTGTCAAGTGAGATAGGATGTAATAGGAGTTGTGGATTTGAGATTCAGGGAAAGTGGAGAGACCATAAAAATCAATCTAGGGGAAAATATAAGTTTCCATCAAATGTCAACAACAAGAAAACGCAGTTATTTTCTTCAATTTCCAAAAAATAACAAACAAGGAACTTGGAACAAAAGTTAAAGTGTTCCAGACTAAAGTAAATAAGAAAATACAACTAAAAATAAATAAATAAATAAATAAAATTTTTTTCTGACTTCTTACAAAAGCAGTTCATGCCTACTAGTGGCCAAGCAGTCTTTGTACTCTGAACACTGGAAGTTCGGTTGTGGGTTTACACCTTGCTCGGACGGGCTGGCCACGTGGAGTTTTCCGGGATTTCTCCATGTCTGTAACACTTAAATAGGTGCCAGTTTCCCTTTAAAAGACCTTTCGGAAGGCACCCCCTAGGCAGATCGCCAAGTGTTGCGTTGCCATAACTTAACAAACAAACAAACAAAAGCAGTTATATGTAATTGCCAATTACTCACTTAACCCTTTCCATGCATTCATGCTGAGTCCACAGAGGAAGTTAATAGGTGGTCTTTTTGAGTGAAGGATTATGGACCCATCTGCAACCTGGTATTAAGACCTACTGATATGTGTTTCTTTTTAAAGGGTTGGTTTCAGTTTTGGTAGGGATGGAACATTTTGCTTTTAATATACATAAACATATTTAATATTTGTTTTTTATTATAATTAAATTTTTTTAATGTAAAGTTGTGAATATATCTAAGTAACATGCAAATGACATTGATTTTTTTTTCTAATAATTATTACTATTTTTCTATTTATATAGGTTGCTTTAATCTGGATCCAAATAGAGTGTTGGACATAATTTTAGAATCTTTTGAATGCCGTTTAGATCTGGCACATTTTTACATTCCTCTCTTGCAATCATTTTTATGTAATTCAGCTACACTCAGTCAAGTTTTGGGATTTAAATTAAGCTTTTATCAGGTAACATTTCATTATTAATTATATTGAACTTAAATGGATAAAAGTTTTGTGGCTTTAGTTTGATATTTATATACAGTAGAGCATCGTTTATCCAAAACGTCCGTTATCCGAAAGCATTCCAGTCAGCAAATTTAAATTTTCGCTAGTGCTATGGTGCTGCAATCTTCGGCTATTTCTCGGGCTACTCAAATATTTTACATTTTTGATACTAAATTAACATCTGAAGTATAATTTTTTATTGTTTTTATATTTTTCAATAAATTTATTTTGTTTGTACAAAATAAAAAAATAGTTTTTAACGATACAATAGTCTTTGTTAGGCTTAACATCGACGAAAATTCAACGCGAATGGGATAAATTAATATATTTTTTCGTACATGATTCGTTATCCGAAAAATAAGTTATCTGAACCACCCCAGTCCCCAATTGATTCGGATAAACGATGCTCTACTGTATTTTAATTTAGTTTAAATCTTATTCACACAAACAGGGATTAAGTTAAATAATTACACAAATAAACCTTTACTTCAGCAAAGAAATTTATATTTTGCTAACATTTTGAACTTTAATTTAGAGGCCATCATCTTTGTTGAAGTCTCTAATGAAAAAAAGAACAAGAAAATGAAATATACATTTAAAAAATTTTTGTGGGAATGTTTTTAGCAATTGGTGATCTAAGATTGTTCTATTGTCCTTTAAACTATAAATTACATAGCAGTTCTTGTGTGCATGCATTGTATGTTACAAATAATACAATTAAATAAAAAATGCAGTAGGGCAAACAACAAGATAAAAATATAATTGGAAAACCACTCTGTTGTACCTCATACCATGCTTTCCACATATCAGATATGCTCATTTGGTCTTAATAATAATAGTAATTTATGAATTTACCTGTCTGAATGGATTTGTACATTTTCAGTCCATTCTGTATGCTTCAAATCTACCTTACTGCATGAGGACTTTATAACTGTTGCATTGTTCAGATTCACTTGAACACCTACCAACGTATATGCAGCTAAAGCTGTAGCTGACTGTTTTTTTTTTTTCTTGTATATTTTTGTTCTTGATGTCTTATTTTAAGGGACTGGGATGCCTATGTATTCCAAATCCCCTACAAAATCTACTGTCTGCTACTGGCACACTGTATATACTAACAAGGAGAGCCTACGGCTTTGGGGTAACGGATTTTGATGATCTTTGGTGTAGAGGTAGTACACCATGTGAGTNTTGTCAAAAAAGTATATGGAAAAATAAAAATCAAGTTTAAGTCATTTTATTCGACTTTACGTCTGTCCGCCACAAATATTTGAAGTCGTAATATCACTAGAAAAATGTTTAAAGCACATAAAATCATATTATAATATATACATTTACAAGTATATACTGTATTACAGTACATGCATTCGTAAATTTAAATTACTTTTTTGTGTATTATATTAAAAACTAAAATTTATTTGTTTGTAAGCTTAAAATAGATTCTTATTAACCATATATTATTAAAAATGCATTAATAAATAAAATACAGAACGGGAATTGGTAATTTATGGTTTAGCCTAGTGGCAAGTAGATTCGGAGAAAAGTAAATTCGACTTAAGTCGTTCTCCTGGAACCAATTACCGACGTAAGGCGAGGTATACCTGTACGTCAAATTCGGAATATGTCCTGTTTGGACGAAACAAATTTTGCTCGGTATATGACTTTTGTTCGATATACGACTTAATTCAATTATATGCACCATCTATGAACAAGTAGCACTATTGGTGTACTAGACCCAGACTAGATGTTCGTGGTGCCATGGTTTATGACTTTGTTAAATTTCTTCTGATTTTAATTTGTAAGTAAAATTTTATTATTTTTATTAATCATGAATCGAAAAAGGCAAATGAAAAGCAACAGAAAACTAAAAACTTGACTAGAATCACAATGGAACTGAAAAGAAAGATTGTTGAGAAATATGAAGGTAGTATGCATGTTCGAGATTTAACTGTTGCATACCGTATTCCGAGAACTATGATATCGACAATCATGAAAAATAAAGACATTATTAAATCTGCCAATGTTGCGAAAGAGGTTAAATCAATTTCTAAATAGAGATCGAAGACTTTAGATCATGTTGAGAAATTGCTTTTGCTTTGGATAACTGAAAAACAGTGTGCTGGCGACAACGTATCAAAAACAATTATTTGCGGGAAAGCTAAAAAGATACATGCTGATCTCATGAAAAATCAAGCAGGAACTAGCTAGGAAAGTGAGGTGTTTAAAGCCAGCCATTTTTTTGTTTTTTTACATGAGAATGGATTAATCATTTTTACATTACTTCTTATGGGAAAGGTTGGTTTGGTATATGTCCTATTCAGTATAAGTCCAAACGCTTAGAATGGATTAAGGTTGTATACTGAGGTTCCACTGTATATGTGGAAGAAAAAAAATAAACCGAAGTGGGACTTTAGTCCATAATCCTGCAAACTGGATAGATATTGTACAATATATTATATTAATAGTTAAATACATCGGTAGAAATGTTATTAGCTTTTATATTCTACTAGTTTTTTAATGTGTTTGAATAAAATAAAATGATTGATTTAATGATAATAGTTTTTGTTGAAAGTTATAGAAATGTTAAAATTTTACAAAGACACACTTTTTTGTAGCTTGTTCCAGAAGACAACAAAATTCTTGAAAAACACAAACAGGAACTTCAAAATGCTAGAACTTATGCACGCCGTGCCAGTGCACTAATTGTATCATCAGAAAAGGCAAATGAAAATCAAGAAGATTCCAAAGATGAAGACAATCAGTGGGTAAGAATTAAGTGAATCTTTTTTAAGTGACTTTCAGTAATGATGAGATATTGAAAAATACTTCTAACTTTTAAACAGAGCAAAATTATGTACCATCTAATTATTTTTGTTTTAGTGTTATTAATCTGCCTATAAAAAGGGATATACAGTGGGTGATCGGTTACAAACATAATCCGTTCCAAGATTTTGTTCGCTATCCGAATTGTTCGTTAACCGATTATCGATTTACCGTAGGTTTTAATGGGAATTTAATTAATTCGTTCTGGAGACCTTAAAAAATAAAAAATATATACCTTCTTACTACGTTTATTTATATGTAATAAGTTAATAAAACTACATACATACACAGTATTGCGTTTTTATTAGTCATGTTTTTTCCGTTTGAAAGGGTTAAAGAATCTGTCTAATGTCGATTGCTTTTCTCTCTTCTTCACGATTTTTCATAAGTAATTAATAGCATTGTAATTCTAGAGGTCCCCAAGCCTCAACATGGTTTGGATGCCATTCTAAGACTGTTGTTCTGACATCCTCCCACTTCTATAAAGGATCTTTAATAACAGATATCGACATTAATCCTCTTTTTCAGAAGAAAACATATCTTGCTGAGTTTCTTGGTGTTCTTCATTCAAAAGTTCTAGGCGTTCTTCTGTCGTCAGATCCGTTTCAGGTTCCATTACGAACTCTTCAATGTTCTTTATTTCTCAGAAGTGATTTTTGTTACTGCTTTAGCTGCTGGAGTCTTTTTGATTATACAGCATTTTTCTTAAATAAGATTGAACTGAGGTCTACTGTAGACCTGTTTATTCCATATTGCCCAGCAACATTAGGTATCTTCTGTCCACTCTCTACCTTTGCTATTATACTCTCATCTTTCGAAAAGAAAAACAGACGCAAAACTTAACGAGTGCCTACCCGACAGTCTCGCGAATACACAAAAGAATTGTTTTGTCAGAAAAATAAAAGGCTGGAATTACAAGGGAGGATTTCAAAGCTCGGAGGAATACTATCCGATCGGTATGTACCGGCTTGAGCGTCGATGTCGACATCTCCCACAATCCAAAAAGTTTCGAATTGTTGCTTGAAGACAAGGGAAGACCAATCGGTATTCATTATTTTACATCGCTTCTTCTTGTGTTTGTTCTGTGGGGTGTTCATTATCCGATCATGTGTTCGTTGTCCGAACATAAAAATCTTTCGCGAAAGTGTTCATTAACCGATTTGTTAGTTATCCGATCTGTTCGTTAACCAATCACCCACTATACAGTATATTAATGGTAAATTAGTTTGCCATAAGTTTAAATTATATTTTTTCTGATGGAATTAGATTTGAAAGTGAGACAAAAGATATAAAAATAAATGTTAACGTAATAAAGAAGTAATATTCAATACCAGGTTGTTCAATAAGTTTTGTCGTTTGATAAGAGGTGGCGCTATTAGGAGCGTCACTTTATTACTCTATAAATAGTACTACTATTTCATAAACACGTGTCAAGTTTCAAGTAGATCCGTCAACTCATTGTATATTTGCAGCTGTTCAAAGTCGACGTGTCATTGTATTTTTTTACGATGGAAAAAATCGAATATCGTGCAGTGATAAAATTCTTATTTTTGGAAGGTGTAGCACCAAAACAAATTCATGAACGATTGTTAAAAGTGTATAAGGACTCTTCACCTTCAATCAGAACAGTAGAAAGATGGGTTGCTGAATTTAAACGTGGTCGTACGAGTCTTGAAGACGATCCACGTGAAGGGCGTCCAAAAAGTGCATCAACACCAGAAATCGTAGCAAAAATACAGCATATGGTTTTGGAAGATCGTCGATTAACCGAGAGAGATTTAGTAGAAGCCCTAGGGATTTCGTTAGGCAGTGTGAGCAATATTTTGGCCGAAGTTTTGGGTTACAGAAAGCTGTGTGCACAATGGGTGCCGCATTCGTTAACTATGGAACAAAAACACATTCGAATGCAACTTTCTCAGCAACATTTGGAGCGTTTTAGAAAGGATAAAAAGGATTTTGTGCGTCGTTTCATCACTATGGATGAGACATGGGTCTACCACCATGATCCTGAATCAAAACAAGAGGCTAAAGAGTGGTGTGAACCCGGTACTTCGGCTCCGAAGCGTGTTAGGGTCCAGAAATCGGCCAAGAAGGTGTTAGCATCAGTTTTTTGGGATGCAAAAGGAATTTTGTTTGTGGATTACCTCCAAACTGGTAAAACAATAAACTCAGATTATTATTGTAACCTTTTGGACCAGCTAGATGTAAAAATTCGTGAGAAAAGACCTGGTTTAAAAAAGAAAAAAATCATTTTTCATCAAGACAACACCCCCTCTCACACAGCTCAAAAAACCATTGCGAAAATCAGTAAATTAAAATACGAATTGTTGCAACATCCTCCCTATTCGCCAGATTTAGCTCCCTCTGACTTCTGGCTGTTCTCACATCTAAAAAAATTCATGCGTGGGAAACGATTTTCATCGAACGAAGAGGTAATAGCATCCGTGGATGCATATTTCGACAGTCTTCCGGATTCTCACTTTAGGGATGGAATCCATAAATTAGAAGATCACTGGAACAAGTGTATTGAAGTTCAGGGAGATTATATTGAATAATAAAATGTATTTCAAACCATAAAATCGTGTTTTTCTTATCGAACGACAAAACTTATTGAACAATCTGGTATATGTAATGAGATACTAATATACTTCATATTTAAACATGATAGAACTTCATTCTTAGACTTCATTATTAGTTATTAAGTCAGAACAAAACAAACAATAAATTTTTTAAAGAAAATTTGTGTGAACAAAATAAAAATTACTCAGCTGCTAATCATTAAGATTTTACACTTTTAAATATACAATAAGTAATTTTCATCTCAAAAACCTTTATTCTTACTTAAATTCAAATGTAAATAATGTTGTTAAGAACCTTTGTACAGAAAGTAAGTTTAAAAGTCTACATTTTTGTAGAGTGAATAAGAAAATGACAAAAGTTTTATGCTATTTTATTATGCTGTTAGCTTGTGTGAGACAGTTTTGCCAAATTACCGAAATACGAGAAAACCATATCTAGAAAAAAAATTTGGTTTTCTTGCATTTAACATTGTATCATACAATGAGATGGTAGTGAGAAATAAAAAGTTCAAAGTATTTATGATTATAATTTTGATTGATTATTATTGATTTCTTGAATATTGAGTAGGCTCAATAGTTAAAAATTTTTTTTTTGTTTTTTTATTAAAAATAAAGTATTATAAAAGAAAATTTCAATTCAGAATATAGAGAAATTTTCTATATCTATATTCTTCATTATTCAAGTAATTATTAATAAGATAGATTATATAATTATGAGATAACTAGATAAACTAACATTTGATTTTTGTTTTCCTCTTAAAATAATGTATGTATTCTCAGATTTAAATTCAAATTACTCAAACAATTTCTGATAATTTTTTATTTTTAATAAACTGAACTGTGTACTTTTAGCAAGAAGACAATCAGAAGTTGGGTTTATGTGAAGCATTATTGGAAGTAGGAGATTGGGAACATGCTCACCAATTAATCTCTTGTTTACCAGAATTTTATGCTGTTTCTCATGCTGAAATTGCTAAAAGTTTATGCTCACTTATTCATGTAATTATAGAACCTTTGTACAGAAAGTAAGTTTGATTATACAGTATATTGATTTTAGTTTTAGGATAAAATTAACAGAATTTTTTTTGATAAATGTAAATTTTCTTACATTTAAAAGTATTTTATTCATTATGTACAGTAAAATCTCAGTAAGTTGGAACACCTTTAGTGTCCAAGTTAGTGGGGTGTCCATGTTAGTGAAGTAGGAACACATTATAATCTCTATGCTTTCAATCTGTATAAGGGAAAAGTGTTTCAAGTTAGCAGGGTGTCTAGGTTGGAGAGGCATCCAACTTTTGAGGTTTTACTGTATACATACATACATATGTACAAGTATATTCAAAAAGCAATTGCAAAATTATGATTAATTTCATTAGTAGTTAAAATTTAATAATAAATTTTTCAGACATTGTGGACTGCCATCTGGATTGAAATCCACTCCTTTACCTACAATTTATGGTATTACTCCCGTGAAACAAGTGAAAAGCTTTTCAAATTTGAAAAAAACCGTTTTTCCAATGGTATTATGCCTTGGACCGCAATTACATTTAAGTCCAATTCTTATGGTGAAGATAATACGTCTAGCTAAATACTGGATGAATGAGGTATTTTTTTTAATTCATTAAACTTATTCATTTATTAAAATATAAACTAATTTTAATATTTTTTGAAAATACATATAGAAAAATGTTACCTAATTTGCATTGTTATTGATTTTTATTAAGTTATTTTGAGGTAATTTCCAGACATGTTTATTATTGTGACAATGCACAAAGCGTCCCTTATGCTTCTGAACCTTTTGACTGAAGAATCAGCACCACTTTGTTGATGCCATGTCAGGATTCTGACATAATTGTGTCCTATGGATAGATACAGAAATCTTAGTTTTCATTCACATGCAAGTGATCGCAAATGTAGGCAATTGGATTTGAGATGGAGGAGGTCCAAGAGATTGTGCACAAAAAAGAAGTTGCATTCCACTACTCATTTAGCAAAATTAATACAGGTAACTTCCACATAATATGGGAGTTACGTTGCAAAAAATTGCCATGTTATGTGAATACGTGTTATACAAAACAAAGAACTAGTGCGAAAAGGGAGGCTAAATTCCAAAAATTAAAAAACATACTGTTAAATCCTTATTTAAATTGGATTTATTATTCATTTTTTTCATAGGTAAAATACTTATTTATTATTTAAGTNATTTACGAAATGTTGAGTCAAATTAGTCTAGAATCGATTAATTTTATGGAAGAAAACCTTTCAAACAGCCGTAGTCCGTAAACTGCACACGTGCCGGGCTGTGATTGGCTCATATATTTAAGGATTCCTATAACGCGAAATTCTTATAAAGTGGAACGTATCTACCGCATTATAGGGGGGTCGACTGTACCTCTTTTATGGCATCACTACTATATCTCAAAGGACGCGACAGGGCTGTTGTAGATTTTAAACGTTTCTCACCATAGCTGTAAAAATCTAAATATGTTAAACTTAATAGTAATTTGTTTTCTAACTAATTCGTTTTAGGACCAAGTGTCCTCAGAAATTTCCAAAATTTACAACTTTTCGGTCACTCTCGTTGAACTGGAAAAATTTCTGTCTTTATTACATTACATTAATAACACGAAGAAATCAGTCTCCGCTGTACTCGGCTAGAGATGGTTCGGTTAGGCTTTTGTTTAAGTAAAATTCCGGCTCTTTCATCAGGGTTTTATTTGTGTCCCCAATTTCCTAATCTCTTAATTATTTAACTACTACTTAAGTACAAGTAAGTCGAAACCGGTTACTTTGTACTCGAATATTTGTAGTCTCGGGAAAAAAGTGGAAAGACAAATTTTTATGACAAACGGATACATAAATCGTAAATGTAAGAAAAATAAATTCTAGAGCTTTTTCTGTACCTCGTGCATTGGAAGTGATGGATGCGCCGCTTCCAATGACGACACGCCACTGGAAGATTGTCAATTCGGCTTAGTTTAGGATCCAGTCTATGTTCGTACATAACGTCGTCTTTGTGGAGTGGAACAAAATGATTTTAGCTCTTGTCCACAAAATCTTCGGACGAGCTGCCAAAATTCACCGAATTAATGTTATCCAAGGGATAAGCAGAAATATTTCCAAATAGGAAAAATAAACTTAAAATGAAGCAGCGAAACATTTTTAACTCGCATTCGAATAAAGCACATAGAACAAACATATTTCGCATTGTTGAACAATAAAGAAAAACAATTGTCGAAGTTTTATTATTTCGTAGGTTTGAATTTCTTAACACCTTTAGTTCCCAGCAATTTTTGATATTAATGTAATTAAACATAAAAAATACTTAAAACTGAAAAAAACGAAAGAAATGCGTTAATTTTGAAGAAAAAGCTTCAAACTTTATTTTCCTTTGTCTTGCCTTTCTGAGAAATTTGACACCGATGAGTCATTGTTTACACAGCTGGATGACCTTGAACACAGCTGGAGTTGGATTTCCCGGGACATTCTCATAGAAGTCTCGGGAGGTGATGGGTTTATACTAGGATGAATACTAGCTGGCCGTATATTTTAAAATGTTTTTAAAAAATTCGAATTTTAATTGCGATTTCCGACTCCCCCTAATTAATTAAATTTATATAAAATAAAATCTATTAATTAAAAAAATTAAAAAAACTATTGGAGGTGATTTTGACATCAGAAACTAGCTTTAAATAACTTTACCGAAGGAAAATCCGTGCACTACAACTTTAGAACAATGAATTAAATTTGATAAAAAAATCTTATTAAAAAACAATTAAGAGTTAATCGTGCGTCATTAAAGATAAATTAAAATCGCGATAAAATTTTTTCACACAGGTAAAAATTTTTGAAAGAATTTGGAGACTTAAAAAACATTGCAAAAATTCAAAAAAAAACAAAAATTTTTCGGGGGACCGAAAGGACCGAGTTTTATGTAACGCTATGTAACCTTCCCGAGTTAACTCGGGCGAAGAACTAAAAAGCTAGACGGATGATTGAAATAAATGGATTAAAAGTGAATACACATATAAATTAAATTAAATTTAAAAAAAATTTAGATGGAAAAGTCCGAAGACAAACGATTTCCGCCCCAGATAACAAACGCTGACAAAAAAAAAAAGAAAAGCTTAAAAAACAATTAAAATGTTCAGTTTGGTCGTAGGTTCGTGTTTCGCCAAGACGGGCTAGCCACGTGACGTTTTCCGGATTTTTTGCACATCTGTAACACCTGAATAGGGACTAGTTATCCTTAAAAATACCTCCGAAAGTCGTTTCCTCCTAGGCAGATTGCGTTGTTTTAACTTAATAAAACCAAAATGTTACAGATAAATAAGTAATGACAATTAGAAATAAAAGATATTTTACATATTATATAAATTGTTTATATTTGCTTTTATAATAAGAGAAATCACGATACAACAGATGTTCAACTGGACTCTTATGCCTCTTATAACTCTTAAGCCTTGTATCAAAATTTTGTGAAATTTTGTAGGGCGGTTTATGTATTATGAGGAAACGTTTCTGGAAATTTTTAGGATAATCGGACAATTGGTTCGAGAAATATGTCCCCTGAACCAATTTGAAGAGTTATAAAGGTAATGGTAGCAGTTATTAGGGATAAGAAAGATAAAGAATTCCAAGATAGTCCATCAACAACATTGCCAACTTTTCATTTATATAAAATTCTTTTCAGGAATAATAATTTAAATTCCATTTAACAATCATGTCTTCTGGTATTAAGGCATAAATACGAAGTATCCGGGACTCATCATCCACGAAAAATTTCTGGAATTGCGTCTCCCCGATTCGTGCGATCTACACTCGATAATTTTTTACATTTAAGAACTAAAATTTATTTTACAGTACAATTATTAAAAGACGATTTTAAATTTTAATTTATTAAGTTAATGCGTTTTCGAAAGATAAATAAACTTGGTAGGTGGCGCATTTAGACAAACACAGACACGGGCCGAAGCTTACTCCACCCCCTTATTTAGGTGACAGGTGGTAGCAGGTAGGTGTTTGCTCTCAGTTTTTTATATTAAATTTGTTTAAAATTTTAAATCATTGTTTATTATCATATACACGAACAATGAAGAATAATTCACACTAGTTAAATTATTAAACTTGCATAATGTGATAATTACTTTAATATCAATATATTAAATCAATTTTTACTTTATATAAAAAGTTAGAAATGTTAATTTAAAAGGAAAAGAAAAAATTTCAGTTTATGTGTAAAATTTCTCGAGTATTGTGGAAGAATAATTAAGTAACTTATATTACTGTATCCACCCCCTTTGGATATAATTCTTATCTCTGCTTGAGCTTAGTGCAAGAAGAATGTAAAAATAAAAAAAAATTAAGGAAAAATTTATAAGCTTATCATTATCATGATATAAAATGTTCATGTAATTAATTAGCAATAAGTAAATTTTAACTAAAAATTTATTATCTTGTCTCAATAATATGTATTGGATACATTCATAAATTAATAGTTTAAAAAAATATATTTTATTGCATTTTTTCCTTTGTTTGTTCACATATTTTTTTTTAACATTTGCTGTTGTGATTTTCATTAATGATAATTTACTGTGACTAATGAATTTTTTGAAATTCTTATCGAATAATTTAGATAGTGCTATATAAACAGTTTAATATACAAACAGGAAATGCAAAAGTAAGTAATATTGCATTTCCTCTTTGTGTATTTGTTTATTTAGCAGTATACAGATTTTTTTGGTAAAAACTTCATAAAATTAAATATTTAAAGCATTTCCTTTGTTTGTTTACTGAATTATGATTTATTTTTCTTGGTTATTAAGAAAATATTAATGATTGGGATTAATTTATTTGTTAATTAAGCAAATTTATGCTTATATAATCAATTTTTACTCTTGAAATTTAATCTTATGATGACGACAATTTTTTAAAACCAATTTAGAACAAATTCTTAAATTTATGATGATTGTTCTGTTTCTGTATATGGTTGAACCTGTCTTCAATCTCACGAGAAAAAATTGAGATAGGCAAGTTTTGAGATATAGAGACTCCTACATGGTAAACAGTAATTGGTTTAAAATTAAAATTGAAGTCAAAGTCTATCTTCTATCTTAATTTTAAACTTCCGGTGATAAAAATTGAAGAGATTAATAGGTTTGATTGGAGGTGTAGTATTGTATTAATACAATAGCAAGTATAGTACATACCTGTATTAGAGATTTTTGACATACTTTAACAGAAATAGTTTGTCAATAGTTTGATGCCCAACTTTTTTTCAACCAATAAGACACAAACCAAACTCATACTCGTAGCCAGTCAGAGAAAAGCAGCATTAACTGCAACTACAATAGCAAAATATGTTTCTCAACTACAATTTATGCTATCAAAATGTAGTTGCTGAGCATTGAATTTGTAATTGACACTTCAGTCCAAATTTGAGATGTAGAGATCTTGGGAGATAATTATTTCAGATAAACATGGAAAATATATTGAATTTATGTTGAAAATATGGGGGAAATAAATAACTGAGATAGTGGTTTTCGGGATAAACATGTTTTTTTTATAAATACAGGTTCAGCTGTATTTATAAAAAAATGGCAGATGTGCCATGAAGAATTTGTATAAGGTCCAGAGATAGAATGGGCTCTTTTTTTCCTCTTAGTGATTTTTTTTTGCTTCTTAATAAAAAGTGATGAATCTTTCTTTTTTTAATAAAAAGCAATGTTAGATTTTATATTCTATTAGTAAATAATAATAATTTATAATAGGAACTACTGCATGCCCTAATTTTTCTGAGATCCCAGGAAGTCTCCAGTTCCTCCCCTCTCAACTTCCTTGATAGCTAGGTCATCAAATAGCCAATGTTTTGATTAAAATAGTTCCATTAAAAATGTCATAATTATGATTATATTATAAATTTTGATATATATAAGGTCTGTTCAAAAAATAAGTAAACTTTTTGAAATGGGCAAAAACAGAGTGCCCTAGTGTCGTGAAGTTGACAACACTATGTTTGTGATAACCTACTGAGTAAACTGCATTTTTCTGAATTGAGTAAAGATTAATTGTGGTCCCGTGATTAATCTTTCAATATTAGCTACTCAAGTCTGAATAGCTCGATGAAAAATTCTGATGCCTAAAAAAATAAAGGTCAATTCATTGTGCGTTGGAGTTAACCCTCCATTACAGATCTCTTAAGTACAGTGTAGAATGTTGATAAAGCATGATAATGTGAAAAATGTATCTGTAATCTCTATGTACAATTTAGTCTCTATTGNTTCTTAGCTTGGACTTGTTAGTTTTAAAAGAAATTGTTCAAAAAATGGCGGGTATTGAAGCATCGGAAGAAATGACACTCGAACAGCTAGAAGCTATGGCGGGAGGTGAATTACTGCGAGCTGAGGTTAATATAATTACATTTGTCAAATAAATTATATTTTATATTCTTATTCATTGAATAATGAATTTGTAACTGAAGCTGACTCAAATAGTTGAAAACATTTCCAATATAAAATATTTTTAGCTTCCTGAATAAGCAGTTTTAATTTCTAAATGATCATGGTGTCAAGTTTTAAGGACTATGTTGACTTACAATATTTTATCATTGATACCAGAACAAATTCAATTAAAAAAAATACTGTTAAATATAATTCAATTTTTATTGTTTTGCTGTTTATATTCTTCATATGACCATACTTTGATATTAGAACATTATCTGAAATGAGTAAATTTGAGAACTATTATCTGATGAAAAATATAGCACTAAAAAATATTACAGGTTATAAAGAGATTTAAACTTGTTAATAATAAAATTAGTTAATAATAATAGACCTGAAACAATAATACAGTAGAACCTCGATTATCTGGACTAATTGGGGATGAAGGTAGTCCGGATAAGGAAAAATCCGGATAATCGAAACAAATACTTTAATTTGTCTTTTAATGATAATGCAACACGTTTTCTTTTCGATGACATATCGGTAATATTAAAAATAAATACTGTATTTAAATTGTGATCAAATTTTCAAGAAACAAACATTCGTATTGAATTTTGGACTACTACTGACCAGTGCTATTCTATTCGTCTCCCCCTGGTTCATATGGAGATATCAGCCTTAGTGTGCTTTTTCTCCGATAAGTTCTGACCAGCGCTAACAGACTACCTATTGTTTAAAAGGCCCTCTGGTGGTGGTGCAAGAAGATGGATTTTATAAAATAAAAAGCAGTTGAAACTGCATTTTTATGAATAAAAATTTGACAAACTATTTATCGTTTTATGACGAGCAAAACTTTTTCGTCATGTTCGCGGCTTTTAAGTAATGCATAAACCTTCGAGGTGAGAGGCCCTTTGGACCAAGAGGCATAGGCGGTGGCCCACATCGTCCATGCCTTACGCCACCCTTGGTCATAGAAATGATGTAATTTGAATATAAATTATTTATAAATACGTATGTCAAGTTATATTTTTATTACTACGTAAAATATATTTAAGAGTTTACGACCACTGTGCTGGGTGAGACGTTGTTGAAACAAAAAAAGTTATGCATTCCATCACGTACATAAACAGTGTCGTACAGTCGACCCCCCTATAACGTACGTTCTAATAACGACAATTCCTATAACGTAACGAAAAAATTGTACAAACTCTCGTAAAACATACCTCCCATAACGTCGTTTCGCGACAAGATTGATAGAGTCTGGACCAATAGTGGATGAGCAGCCGAACTACTTTCCTCCGACCCTGCGCCACGCTACGGAGCGGCTAAATTGAGTTTGCTATCGTCTGTTTAGTATTATATATAAATTATATATAAATTAGGTACTGTACATATAATTATATATTAATTATATATAAATTAGCTACTGTATATATAATTATATATTAACTTAATTTATTGTAAGTTTATTATAATTATATATATGCTTTCTGCCACCTGGCAACACGCTACGGAGATTT